AATATTTGCTTCATTTAATTTAAACTTTAAAAAAAAGATAGCCACATCATGTTGCTTCTATAACAATTAAAAAAACTTTTTATAGTGACCATATGACATTCTATTATCCAACTAAAAGTAATGATCTAACGAGCCTGTTGTTTAAAACGAATAATTGTGCATTAACTAGTCTTTGATGGGCAGTATAAGCTATTGAATTTGTAGAAGTATTAACTACTCTTTTTGAATTTCTTGAAATTTATACTCTTCCCAATACTTCAATTTCTACTTTCTTATAGAAAGTAATGTCATGCTTGGTGGGGAAATTTCTAGTATTTAATAAAAACAAACAAATTTAAAATATAGATTTTAAGCAGGGTGTTAGATATCATAGACTAGCCATGATGTCTAATAGGCTTACACTCAAATTATTCCAAATATATTATCCATATATTGTTTTGAATATTTAATAATAAATTTTTTTTTGCATTTACTAACAAAATTACAAAAATCTTAAAATTCTATATAAATAAATTACACAACTAAAATGAAAGTGTGCATATTGACCAAAGAAAAAAAAAGAAGAAAAATGTTATGTCTGGAAGTCACAGACCAGACAGACATGTATGGGCATAAGCTTTTATCCCATCCCAGTACACAAAAATACATTGGTATACCATCTAAAGACTTGATACTTTTCAATTGCACAGCACTTGATTCAAGCTTTTGCATGTAGATATAGTGGGACAACTTCTGCATCAAAAGACTTTTGTTATATCTACATGTTCATTGTCTAATCAACTTGGCCAAGACCATCAAAACAAAAAGATGTGCAAACTAAACCAATCCATTTGTAAAATAGGAATGACACTTTTTTTGACATGGAAAAGAATATTTAAATGTAAAAAGACTTTTTGGAAGAAGAAAATACTTTTAAGTGGGATGTAGCTTTCTTCCAAGGAAAATTCATCTTTTTTTTAAGACAAGCGGTAATTTAGGAATTGATAGTAATTTCTTTGACATAGAAACCATGGCTTGTCCTTCTAATCACATCACAATCAAAGCAATCTAATGCTATTATTTTCAGAATGTTCTTCCTAAACTGTTTATTGATTTAAGTAAAATTTGGCTCATCTTCACAGCTACTACCCATGAATTTTTTTTTATTGTTGACAATGATACTCCAGCAATCTTACTTATGCAATTTGTAGAATTAGCAACAGAAATGATAAAATTGTCATTTTCAATTTTCTAACAGAATTTAAAGATGTGAAAAATTTTTTTTCATTTCACTGCAAAAGGATTTGTTACATGATGCACCACAAGGCATGTAAAAGCAAGGAAGCATACACAAGAATATGAAAAAAAGAAATCTCATACTAAATTCACTATTAACAACAAGTGCTTTAGCACAACTCCATCTTTCAAGAGAGTTGATAAAATGCCTAAGCTAGTTGAACTATATCGATGGATATTCTAGGTTGGAATGTATTCCTACTAACATCTTGGCTAAAACCTATAACAAAGGCTTTTTATACTCCTTGGATATGTCATTTTTGTATATCTTTTTAGGTTGACATAAACTGAGAATGGCAATTTGAGTTGGATTTTTTTGCTCACTTTTATCTGGAAGCAAGTAATATGATAGAGCATTTTCATAGCTCACTTAAGGCAGTGATATGTTGTCATATAGAAGACAATTGGGTGGACATCCTATCTGTGGTAATGCTAGACTTCAAACAGCATTCAAAGAAGGCTTACAGACCTCTATGGCAGAGATGATGTATAGAGAAAATTTAATTTTGCCTAATGAATTTTTCTCCTTAAACAAACCTTGTGAAGCCTACAACATTCATCATTCATCAGTCATATAAGAGAGAGAATTAGGCAAATTCATTAAATTCAAGCAAAACAGTGGGTGAATATTTTTTTTTTGTTTATGAAGACTTGATATGACATAACCATGTCTTTTTATGAAATTAGGCACTCACACATTTAAAGCCAGTCTTTGTTGAATAAGAGCTGGCACTAGTCTCAAAGTCACAATCACCTACCTCAAACAATCAATGCAAGACAATTGTCGTGAGTTGTAGGTGACATATGTATTTCAATGCACAATATGCATAAGATTGTAAATATTTCATTCAATAGTGAGAGAGAGTATAACTGCTTTGTAAATAAAATTTAAAAAATAACAACAAAAATTTAGGGGGCATACACACCAAAAAATAAAAGCTGAACCTGTCCGGGTTCACCAGCTTTTCATCTTTCAATTACAGTAAGACCCCATTAACGTGGGGGATACATTCCTAGATGACAAAGTGCTAAACGAAACAGCATTAAACGAGGTCATTTTAACACAGAGTAAATAGGGAAAGGGGAACACACCACCAAAAATAAACAGATTTTACTTTAATTTTAAGCTATTTTTATATTAATTTGCATAATAATATATGTTAAATAACATGCAAACATATGCACTCAGAAATGTAAAGTTAATTTTTTTCTGAAATTGTTGTCTTGTGTTTTGCAATAAAGTTGTGTTAAAATATAGTTTCATTAGTCACTTTTTTTCTTTTCTTAAGCAAATGTCAGTAGTGGGAGATCACATCCAAAACGCCTCGTTTTTGTTTTGCACTCCTTTCAAAATCTGGATTGTTTGCTACAGTTTGATCAATGATTTTGGTTATCATTACCAAACTTTTACTAAAGAAATCTATAGCAAGTTCTTTGGATTCTTCGTTTTCAGAATCACTGTTTTTCAGTTCTACACAAATTCCTTGTTCTGCCAGTTCTTGAAGGTCATCATTGGTAAGGTTCTCATCAGAAACCTGTGGTAACTCCTCAATATCCTGCTTGTCTACATCTCCTAGTCCTGCTGTATCAATTAGGTTGACAATTTGGCCAACATAACGATACAGCGATAGGCTCTTTTCTAGTTGAGAATTCTTAGATACCTTCAGTCATAACTTCTTTTACACTTCATTCATGCATTTATCAGTTAATTCTTGCCAAGTGAAGTCGATATTTCCTATGGCATCCATGATGTTATAATTTTTTCCAAAATTGCACCAAAAAAACCTAGATTTAAGGAAAGTACAGTGCTACGACGAATTGCCACCTTTTGCCAATTGGTTTACGTTCATGAGTAATCGTATTATATAAGAATCAGTGAAATGCCATGATAATTTGAATTGGTGTAAATTTTGAGTTTTCTTATGAGCTTTGAGCAGACTGCATTATATTGAATCAGAATTAATTGAGGCAGCGTTAAGCAGGGTCTTACTGTAGTACTTACCATGTATCCTTATGAATATCATGCAATGTTAGTCAGGTTAAGTTTTTGGGGTTTGTGGAGAATTGTTTGATGTATATGATCATTTTGTAAAATAAAATCCATCTGTTGAATTTCATCATAATACCTTTCCTTCTTTATTATTAACAATATGCAACAGTGTTACACTTCTATATATATACCATAATACCCCGAACTTACGCAATAGGTGGGACCGAGCGGTAACCGCGTAAGTCGAATTCACGTAAGTCGGGGTATAATTTCACATATAAATACATACAAATAATTTTTAATTGGGACTGGAGACTAAAGAAAACAATAATTTAGAAAAAAATGTTTAATAAAATCTTAGATAATACATATGTATAACAAATTAGGCCTACATTATTTTACAATTTTTTGCATTTACTTGATTATTACGCCATAATTTTAACATTGTTTCCATCTCAGCGATAATACTGTGACGTTTACGAATGATGCTTGAATTTAAAGATTGAGCATTTTTCACAGCTTCGAGAATTTTTTCTTTGCCTTTTATAATTGTTCTGACCGACAATTCCGGTAGATCAAACTTCTTTGCCAATTCACAAATTTTCATTTTTGTATCGAAGTCTTTAATAATGGGTACGTTCGTAAAGTCAAACGAGTTAAACGCGTTAGTAACGAATCGTTCGAAAAGTCTAACGAAATAGGAATAACGATGACGTCATTCTCGTTTAACTCGTTCGACTTTACGAACATACCCAATGTTAACTTTACATTCCAAAGATAAAGTTTTTCTTTTCTTGTTTGATGCAGAAGAATTAGTTCTACTTCGTTTGGATGACATAGTAGAGTCTCTCAAGTCTCCATAGATATAACAAACACAGAAATAAATAACACAAAATAAATTGTAGCTATGTGTTGATTCCGCGCAACACATCCGAACATGTAAGCTGAACAATAGTGTGGGGAGTGAGTAATCAAGGGTTGCATGGCGCTCAAACAAAAGACGAATCGACGAGATTTGAAAATCACGTAACTACGGGTTCACGTAAGTCGGGGTATTACTGTATATGTTTTAATGTACAGTACATTCCAGCAGATCATTGAAGAACAACTTGTATTGAAATACTGTTTAAATTATTTAGTGATCTGAATCTGTTCATTTAAAATAAAATTAAGTAATTAACACTACAAAATAAAAGATCAAAAATCCAGCAGAAAATACAAAAATCTACAAAAGTAAATGTTTTCACCCATGTTAAATACTCATCATCAAACTAAAAGATTTCTTAATTTTTGAAATTTTTAGTCAAAAGCTAAAAATTCTGTAGATTTTTGAATTTCCTGCTGGACTTTTTTTTTTGTAGTGCTTAATTACATATACCCAGTTTGCATCCTTGAATAAAATCAATTAAATTAACAAAAAGAATTTTAAGATATAGATCTTATTATTTAAAAATTTATCAATATATAATGCTAAATTTTTTTAATGAATTTCTATGTTAGAAGTTTTTTAAAAAGTAAAATTGCATTCTCATTCCTTTTTAAAAGCTAGTATAGCATCATTTTATTTTAAAGTTTTTTATTTTTATTTAAAATTTTTTGAGTAGAAGAACTTAAAAATACATTTCAAATAGTATATTTTATAACTAATAGGGATAAAATATTGTTTACATTATTTTTATATAAAATAGGAAAAACAATTGAATTCATAGTTGTAATTTAAACGTTATTATTTTAGCTGTAGTTTTATTTGGAGAACCAGTAAGGTGGGAAACAAGTTTACAATTGATCATAGATGTTTTAATGACAAATGGTTTGCCATGTGATGCTCCTCCTTCAATTCCATATCCACACCTTCCTGTTTTAGCATGTAATATGGATCTTCAATGGATGGCAGAAGCTTGCATAGCACGGTAAGTGAATATTTTTAATTTCTCATAATTTATTTTAATTAAAATTTTTATGAATAGAGCAAGTAAATAGAGCTAATTTTTAAATTTTAGCTTTTTATTTTTAATTTTTCATTTCTACAAGAATTTTTTTTTCTCATTTTCTTGAATAAAACAGAAATTTCATTACTCCTATGCTTGCATTCATACATGATATTACTAGATAATTTAATTAAATATTCCCTAGCATAATTTTTGCATAGAAAATTTTAACATAGTTTTGAAATAATTTCTATATTTTATATTGTAATTTCTAATATTTACTTAGGAATTAAAATAAATGTAATGTACTAAAATAGTTTCATTTTAAAAAATTATGTTTTTTTTTAATGTAAAATTATATTTAATTTTATTTCTATTAACATTTATCTTTTTGACAATATTTAGATTTGGCCATGGTGCATTTTTGGTTTGTCTGGAGAATCTTTATAAGGTAATTTTAATTATTTAACATTTACCAGTATTAATATTCATACACGTATGTTTTAAAATATATTTATTCTGCGCATCAAAAATGTAGAAATAATCATAAATTTTGAAATATTTAACAAAATATATACTATAAATTACATGAAATTTGATATAAAGGTCTATTGTTTATGGGGTAATAAATGATGTATAAACAAAATATTCAATTTATTTTTACTTGCAAATACACTGGTTAACTTGAACCGGGATAACTCAAAGTCATTTTCTTCCCCCAATTGTCCAGCATAGGGATTTACGTGTTAAATTAAACTGGTTAACTCAAATTTCTCAAGCGGTTTAACTTGAATGGAGTTTTGATACAGTATTTTCATAAACTAACTCTTCAGAATTTTAATTTTTCATTAAATAAAATAATTAATGTTTATCTATTGAGTAAACTAATCAGAAACTTTCTATAAAGCTCAGGAACCACATATGACTAAAAATAAATGTTGTGTCACATGACAGTGGGCAGGGATGGAACTTTTTTTTTTTGTTTGATTGCTGATGGATTTTTGAGTAGCCAACATAATAAATAAATTAAACACTACATACCATGCATACCTTTAATTTATCTATGTTCCAGCTGTTACAGACTTTTATGTTGTAACAACTAAATGAATTTTTGATAAATTAATTTACAAAGAAAAGATTATATCTTGATTCTATGTAACAATTTTAACCTTTGTGGCAAAATTTAAAAAATGTAAAAATAGTAAAGAGTAGTTTTTGTGATAAAAAATAATATATATTTATCAATTCTAAATATAAAATATGAGTTAAAAAACATCATATTATATACTTAGGAGTGATGGATCAACAATTCAGGAAAGCATTTTTCAGTAGCTAATTTAACCATTCAGTTAAGCATTTTCAAGTTTCTGGACAACACCAAGAGGTTTACATTGACATAATGATTCTATGTAAGAAGACTCGTAGAAATATTATATGGATAGTTTATTATGGGTCACCAATGAATTGATTTACAAAATCTTGATTTTTAGCCAAACCTCATAACTCAAAACTTTTAAACTCAAAGTTCAAATGTTTTCCCTGATGAATTAGTTAAGGTTCCACTGTATTAGTGTGAAAAATACACAGTATTATTATACAATGTGTCTCAGGGAAGCTGTGTTAGGTTTACCCCTAGTACAGGCATGGCCAACATATGGCTCACGGGCCAGATCCAGCCTGTCTAATGAATTTATGTGGCCTGCGATTAATCTTTCAACATTACCTACTCAAGTCCGAATAGCTCAATGAAAAATTCTGGCGCTTAAAAAAAAAAAAAAGAGCACAAAC